TTGAGTCAAGGACAGAATAGCAGAGCTATTACACCAGCACTTGTTGTTCTATTATATTGATCCACTTTGTAGGACTGTGCTCTAATGTATTTTGCTTGGTCTCCATCTTTCACCCATAATCTGCTTGTGGCTTTCAATATCATACATCATATGTAATAAAACAAAGGGAGAGGTTTTTACTTACTTTACTTTGGCCTAAAATATTGAGAAATGTGAACTATAATTAATTCAGTTTAGCTTTTAGCTATTAAAGCAATTCTGGAACAGTTATGTCATTACAGAGGTTCTATACTGTGGACTTTTGTGTGGTTTGACCATAATATAGCTATTTTTTTTTTTTTTTTTTTTTGGCAACTTGAACACTGGTCATCACCTTAGATTCTCAAAATTTCTCTTTATTATTTGCCTTATCTTCTTCCTCTGCAGCAGTTTTCTGCCCTAGAGCTCCATCATAAATTAAAACACCTGAGAAAATCTATGTATGAGGCATTTGTGAGCAGAAGGTAGGTAAATAAATAAATAAATAAAATAAACATTTCTGCAGCTTCAAACCAGTGGGTGAACCATGAGGTACTAAAATGGCCTTGAGAGAAACAAGTTTGTTTCAGTCAGCTCAAGTCAATCTGGGGCAAAAGCAAAACCAGGCAATAACTTGCATGAAGTGAAAGAACTACTAAGGGTAGAAGGGATTTCTTTGGTTAGAAGAACACTGTTTGATTTGCCATAATATTTTATTGGAGACATATTAGTACCTTTCATATTTCTCTTTATTGGCATAAATAATAATCAAAACTTCCATATCTGTATGTGACGGGATAATTGTGATATAAAATGCTTTTTCACACAACCAGAAAAATGCAGTGTGATAAGGAGGCAGGTTTTTGAAGTACTATGTTGAAATGGTACAAAACCTAATGAGAGTGGCTTTATTCATTTGAAAAATCTAAGTGGTATGTGGGAGTGGGGAAAGGAAAATAACAGCTTGTTTTTCATTATTTCAACTCCCTCATGAATCACAATTTAAGTCTGCTGCTACTGATGGTGCCTCCAGTGGGTGTAATTCAGCTCCCAGACACAAAGTGAACCTTTAGTGATTCAGACTATTCCAAATTTACTTTTCTATCACCCTTTAATAATAATGCTATAATAATTGAATCATGTATAGAAGGTGAGTTTGCCCAAACCTGTGGATGAATATAACTTGTGAAGCTTGGTTACTGTAGTGTCCTCTCTTGCTTTTTTGAAGACAGACACAATTTAATTTATCTTCTTGGTGGAACCATGGCAGTTACCCAGTGCATGGTGGCTTTACTTTATTGTGGAATTACCCTTGGAGGCATTTGAAGGTAGAAATTGCCCGCAGGTGTGCACACATATAAAATGGTAATGGGAAAACGCAGGCTAAAACACTGTTTGGGTGCTGTGCTCATGAAAGGGCAATTTGCTGATTGAGCTGTCACATCCACAGATGCAGTAATAAAACTAAGCAGGGCAATTACTGTAGATGGAGAACAGTGGGTAGCAGAAGGGAGGGGGCATGCAAAATGCTCACCCCTAAAATATCGTGATGGGAGACAAAGCAAACGTGGCACTCTCTAATAAGCCTGATCTGAACAAATTCAAATGTTAATAATACAGTTGTCGGCAATTTAAGTAAAGGCACCCTGTACTAGTTCACTCTGCCAGTAAATCTATTTTGAGAGTCAAAAAATTGTAACTTAACAATGGTATCAAAGAAACTAATATATATTGTTTCTAACTAACTGAATTGTTACTGATTGAAAAAAGTGAATTCACGGCATTGAGTTAACAGTCTGGATTACAAAAGATTGGCTGCAGTGCCATCTAGTGGTTCTATTAGTGAGTTACAATAAGGGTCAAACTAAAGCTGTTGGATTTAATGCTGGTTTTTAAACACAACCAATACTCCACAAACACACACTTTTATTAACTTATAAGAAACATGTAATCTATTTATTTCACTTACATAAAATACTGCCCTGTCATTGTTTAGCAGAATGAAAGGTAATTTAGCAGAGTGTTACATTTAACAAACAAATCTAAATTGCCTTTATAATGTGATGTATCTTGACCACGTTTTGACAGAGAATTTGCTTTCTGTCCTCAGGCAGACTCAGAGTCCGGGGCCTCCAGCAAATATAAGCTCGAGGGCAGCCTGGATATCACCTTCTGTGGCCTGCAGCGCCCTCAGCATCAGCTCTTCATCTTGGATTCCCATGTCTCTGAGCTGCTGCATCTGGGACTGCCATCTGCCCTAACAGCACCAAACACACACAGGAAATACACAATGCTGTCTCAAACTCGTTAAATACATAATATGTAAAGTACAATACAACACAGCCATATGCTTAAAAATAGATTTACATAGTCTTACTTGTAAAGATGACATGGTGGTGGCTTGTAACGCCTGCTGTAGAGCCTGACTGAAAAGATCATTACTGACAGGAGTTCCTGCTGGCATGGAATTAACACTACTGGATGGGTCAGCCTAAATAACAGTTTTATATAGTCAGTTATAAGGTGAAAGTCTTTTGAATGTTAAAGTGTAATGCATAGATGTGAGTTAGTGAGGAGACCTGGCTTGTTGTGGTAGGGGTGACTGCACTGCTGTCTGGAGTACTAGCCAGAGCCAGGGCTGTAGCCAGTTCACTCTGTGTGATCGGTCGTGGGCCTGTGGCTCCACTGTGACTCAGAGAGATGGGTCTCATTCCTGATGACGGCCCTGATCTGTTTGATTGAGCTGCTGATGGACTCTGTGAAAATATATTATATTTTTATATTATTACCATTATATATGTATATCATATAGTGAATAATGGTTTACTCACAGACTGGAACTCTTCCTCATCATCAGACATGCCTTCAAACATAAATCCTCCTGTAAAAAATAACAAATAACAACATACCTTATTAAAATCTCATTGGTGACAGAGTATTAAACATATTTTAGGTTAAAAAAAAAAAAAAAAAAAAAAAAGACCTGGCATGTCACTGTAAGAGCTGGAAGAGACATTGCGCGATGAGCTGGTGCTGGATTGTGCAGGCATGCTTCCTGCCACAGAGTGCAGGACCAGGATAATGGCATTCACCAGAGCTGGATGTGAATTTATCAACCTGCAAAAGGAAGACATATTTAAGATATTAACAAAAGTCAACATTATGATCTATATGATAATTATATCCGCTCACTCATCCAACATGTTGGGGTCTGTGAATTGCACAAACAGGTCTTTGTCCTGGAGTACACCTAAGATAAACAGGGCCAGACAAAACTTGAATTTCTTTTCTATTAGTATTATCTAATGGATAAAGACAATTTTTAATCATACCAAGAGCAACTGGGTCAGATCTGAGGCCTGGCGTAGCCACAATTATTTGATCCAGAGACTCTTTATTTGTCAGCATTTTGTAAACCTATTAGGGAAATAAACACATGCAAGTTAAATCAATACATTTATATTTACAATTATTCCTATTCATATTTGGAAGAAATTGTACAACAACAAAATTGACACACTTTAATTTTGATCTGAATCTGTATTCAAACTCACAAAACTGAAGCAGGCAACTAGTTTTGTTTATAATACTCAGCATGAATGTGCTTTAGTTCTACGACTGACAACAAACAAGTCTTACTGCATCTCTGTAGGATGAGTTGAGAGAATGAAGAGCAGCATGAAAAACTCTGAACTCTCTGGCAGCTGTAGCTCTATTCACAGGCTCTACATTACAACATTACACGTTAAATGTTAATCATACTACGTATAAATACACCAATTAATTTCCAATTATAAAAAAGACAACCTGGAGCACTCTCGGGCTCTGGCCAACTCTTTTTGAGGATGTGTATGGTGGACCCATTCTGAATGCCATAAGAATCTAAAGTAAGGTCGTCCTTCAATTTCCTGCCACAGTGGACCAGCTCTAATTTATGACAAACATACAAACAACAATTTAGGTTACTAAGAAAGTATTATATTCTAGTTAGTTGTTTTCAACGATATCTTTTGCAAACCTATAAGTTCTGGATCTGGAATCGAGTCAGGTAGCTGAGCGGCGACCAGCTGTTTTAGGGTCGCCACTCTGTATCCTCCCGGTGGGACGTCTCCAGGCATCATCTCTGGGAAGTGGAATTTGGATTTGGGCTGGTCTACAAGCTTCAGAGATAGATGCCAATCCGAAGACGCCATAACTGCCTTGTTTTTAAACCAGAGACAGGCTTTAATTAGCGTTAGTTGTTAGTTAGGCGTACAATGAATGACTTAACCTTAAACCAATCTACAAATAAATTACAGTGTTATTGTGATAGCGTGCAAGAAAATACTATGATATCACATAAAACACGACCCAAGACTTAACAACCAAAGATATAAACTATCAATATGTTCAAAACTACTCAACACACAATTTGCTTCAGAAAAATGGAGCAAACGTGAAAATATTTGCACACTCACCATTGTATTGTTGACGTTCCACCTACTTCCTGGTTAATGCCACGTGGTAACGTCATGTGGTTCATGTTGCGTTTACTTACAAAACAAAAATACATGTTATCACTTACAAACGACAAAAGAAATATAGGGTTATAAAAGAAATACATACGGCTATTAGATGTTAATGTATGTTGTCTATTGTATCTTAATAATAGATTTAGTACTGAGTTATATTTAAATATTTATACATTACAGTACAGCTAAAATGTTGTTAATATCTTGGAAATGCCTAGCTGATATGCCTCAAAAACAAACATTTTACATATTAGGATGGAATACTGTATTATGTAGGACACTTCTCAGATTATGGACACCGAAGAGTTAACACGGGGCCGGGTGAGTGGGGAATCTTGCCCCTCTGTATGACATCACCGCTGGACAAAGCAACAAGGAGTGGTTAGAGAAAGGATCCCGTCCCAAATCAATGGAACCCACTCTTCCAGACAGGGGAAAAGCCTTCATCTTATTACCTTATTTGCCGACAAAGACCACAGATATTCCTTAGTTCAGTTTAGTCGCTCATACTCCGTTCTTGGAATGCTTAGTTGTGGATAAAACGGGGAGCGCTGCTTTGGACAGTCACCGTCGCTGGATGCTTGGTTGTTTCTAACTTTAGCAGGCTCAATGGTAAGCAGAAACATATTGTTAAATGTAACCTAAGCATAGCGGTCCTGCGGACTCACATGAGTTCAAGCACTGTCTGAAAAGCTGAAAAGCAACAGTTGTATCGCGCAACCTACTTTCTTCTAAAAAGTGCTTTTCTAATGAATTTTAAAGATGTGTCTGAGATGCTTGAATCAAGACTACGCCCTCGCCTGGCAATCGTGAACATCTACTCCCACAACGCGAGCACAAAAGTTTAAGATGTCATGTCAGCATATTGACCATGCAGCAAATCGACCCTGTTATTTTTGCCTCCATTAAGTTGATTGTGTAGTTAATTATGTAACTACAATGTAGTGTAGATATAATCATAATTATTATATATTTTTGCTTTATTGTATAGTTGTAGATAGTTATTATGATATAATATGTGGGAAATGTATCATTCCCCATTAGATTTTCTGTAATGTAACAAAAAGTCTATTTAATATTCTGATCTTTCCTTTCCTTCTTCAATTTATTTATTTTTATTATTATTATTATTTTTTTTTTATATTACAGATCATGAAAACATAGATTTTTAGCAAGTAGTTTGTGATCTTTGACTCGAAACCCATACAATGTAAGCATAAAAAGTGGGTAACGATTAAGTTTTTATATGTCTCCTTGAGGGCTCTAGACTAGTGCCTGAGTCATTAAACCTTTTGATGGTTTCCTTGTGTCTATAATGCGCACCACAAGCAGACTTTAGTTTGGTGTGTTACATACATGTGCTCTGTCGGGTAACACATGTCCCTGTCTTTGTAGTTGGCTTAACTTTGAGCTGTAACTTGGGGAAAACCGTTGACCAGCTTCCTTTCTGCGGCTGCTATAATGGATCCATGATTAAAATGTGGTTAAGAAAATCACAACACGCCCAACTCAGAATGTGGTATTTTTTCACTTTACTGTAGAAGATAGAGACACTGTAATTGTCTGTAGACTAGGTCAGTAAGCAGTACCACCAGACTTCAGAAACATCAAGCATTATTTAGATCCAACCTTACAAAAGGGGCTTCGTGCATCTGTTATAACATACAACTGGTGGGATAGGTTTACTTACTAGGTAGATTTTGTTAAAATAAACATTTGCTTCAGCTCCCAAATGGCCTTGAGAAGCAAATCAGTGGACTCCCTGCACACAGTGTTCATTTGGAAGATATATTATATGATATAGTTAAGCTGAGTCTTATGATACTTCTCTTTTCCTGTAAAACCACAGAGAATGACTAGGACCTTTCCTGTCAAGTTTGGAAGTTCCCTGCTGTCATCACCTCCCCACTCACACTGAACCAGACAAAGCCACTGTTGGGCAGAGAAATGTTCAGTCCTTTATCTTTTTATAGATACAAATTACTTCATTACTTCCTCTTTAGTCATAATCATATATTTGTATCCCTATTTAAGCAAAGCAGTGTATTAAACATCTTGAAGTAACGCTGTTGTCTTTTTACAGTTAATGTGTGACTTGTACTTCTTCAAATTAAATTCATCAGAGAAGACCATGCTGTTCCTCCTGCTATCTGCCATGATGGCCCTCCATACTCTGGGTTAGTATATCCTTTGCCTCTGCTCTAGATATACTGTATGTGTCCACACTGAAAACCCACATCTGGGGTTGTGTCCTGCTCGGCCATTACCCAAAGGTAAAAGAACTCCTCAAACTAATGTACCAGTCCAGTTGGAGAAAAATGTGAACACATGGCATATCCCACTGAAACAAAAGCCACTACCTCATGTGTGATGGCTTTTCTCAACCTTTTTAACACTGTGGTTCCAGTTGTATCATGGGGTATTTTTTGTTTAATATTTTCTTATTATTCAACTTGTAAAACAGAATAGCTTTGACCTTCTGCAAAAAGGTGAGGAAGAAGGCTCAAGGCTAGGATGTAAAATTAGCTTGGAGTGCACTTTTTCTCGTGTGACTCAGAATGTGTGGTAAAATCCTCCTCTGAACTGCTCACTGTGGCTGTTACTCACGCACTCTGAAGTTTCACTTCTATGTAGTCATCATCAGAATAATAAATAACAGACAGACAGACAGACAGACAGACAGATAGATAGACAGAAAGACAGACAGACAAGACACAACAGACATCATAAGAGACAAGCATAAAACACATAAAAAATAAATAAATACAAAAGTTAGCTGACTGTATCAAAGCACAATGGGACATTTGTCTTGCCTCAAAAAGTACTTTTCAAAACAAAGTTAAAAAGTTTCATCTCCCCAAAACATTTTAAAAGATTCCTTCCACTCTCTGCTTTCTGGTTGAGCTGAAGCAAGCTCCTGCCGGCCATTGGTGGCACATTTCAATCAGGCTGAGTGTGTGCGGTGGTTCATTAGGGACTATTCTGTCCTGCTCCGATGGTCCTGAGGCCTGCTCATTACTGAGTGTATCTGCTGCCTCTGTCTTTCTCTGAAGGGACCAAGAGAAGGAGTGCCATGCACTGATGGAGCTCTTTAACTCACTCTAATGGGCTATTAGACCACCTCACACAATAATTCATATCCAGCTAACCTGAGAACCAAGAGAATGCAAGCGAGTTATAAGCAACACAATATGGTAACATTAATAATAATTACAGCCTTTATATTCTTTGTTTCTGTTTTTACATGAGGGATATGACTTTTTCAGTTTGTCTGTGTGTCTCTCTCTCTCACTCACTCTGTTCCACTGAACAATGTGATAAGGTAATACCCTCCTTATGGACTTGCTCCTCTATGTTTTTAACGCCCATACACCTTGACTCCTTTTGAAAGTATATCTTGCTGATAATTATCAAAAACAATATATTTTTTCTTAAGTTTAACACAGATCATTTTACATTTGCCATTTCATATCCATTATCATTCTGCGACACACATCAACAAATTTGCATCATCAATTCACAGCCAACACTTGATTGGATCCTGTTTTAACAAACCCAGACCTGAGCATCAGTGCTTCAGACACTGCAGCCAGTAACTTTTAACTTTTGTATCCTCCATTGACCTTTGAGCTCTAGGCTAGCATTGTCTTGAACATTTACTCTTAAAGGGAATACTGACTTCCAAGCAAGTGTCACATGAAAACTAAAAAGAGGCCTGCAGAATGTTGTTATGTCATCTGAATACACAGCAACACAATTGAACACTAACAGGTTTCTTTCTTACATTATTATGAGTGACCAAGATGGACAGGAGCATAGCATTGACATGGTTCAGTAAACTCTGTAGGTCTCCTCTACATATCAGAGGACAGCACCGCTAACAGGATGCCGAGTTAATTGCTTGTATAGTTGTCACAGTCTGCACTCTGTTAGTGTCGTCATGTGCAGTGCTCATGCCAAACAATAAGAATCCTTCCAAATGCTGAAAGCCGACCTGAATTCACTGGCTCACTGATGGGACCTGTAAGGTAATTTAAATTTATTAACAATTGCATAGATTGCATCTCCTCCTCCAGCAGCAGCAGACAGCAACCTCACATTATGGCTGGGCCCCAGAGCGTGAAAATGGCCTGCATCTCTGGTGTACTCTTTAAAGGTCTGCTAACTATGAATGCCCTCATCCTGTCCTCCCTCTTGTCTCCACTGCAATTGATTCTGCAGAGAGGGGACACTTTAGCTGGTGCTAGAAATTCAATTTAGGGTTATTACCCCGTATCTGTGATGTTCTTGCTAATTTGATTGTGTCCAGTGAAGTGTCTCTTTTAAAAACAATGGAGGACAAGCTCAACTAAGATTGGTTTCGATGCAATGCATACCTAATGACAAGTCTCTATTGGATGTTGGGTCATTTCTCACCAATTCATTGAAACAAAGTGTGTTATAACCCAACAAGCAACTCTCATGATTATTTCAACAAGTTCCTAAAATGCAGCCTGGTGGGATCCTTAAAAAATTGATAAGGCTAATATGCAGAGAATGCCGTGCTCGAGCCTCTAAGACATATGCGAGAGTGCTGTGCGTCGAGTGGCTTGTGATAAATGACCAGCACGGCTGCTGAGGATGCACAGAGGAAAGCTAAGCCTGCCTCTGGGTTGTAGCTCCACTCGTGTAATACTGGATGAGTCTGTATTCAAATAAGGCAGGTGGCGGGGGACTGACTCTTACTTAACCTTGCATAATAATGTTCATATGATTCAGCAAAAGATGATTTCATCAGACAACACCTGAAAAAAGTTTGCATTTACACAAGCAATTATCACATTTAAAAATGTGTGCCTTGGTTTTATCAAAAACACTTCTGACCTGTTGATCTTTTGACTTGTTAATACTCAAGGATAAGAGGAGTTGATCAGAATGGGATGGGATGAATAAAAGTTGGAGCAGACCTAACAAATTGGAAAGTCAACAAATGGACAGATTCAGTCCACAAACAATTATAGTATTGTTAATGCAAACTTGTAAAAAAGTATCTATAATAGGGCTGGGAAATATGGTGAACAAAACTGAATCTTGATACGATCCTGTGACCATATGTTATTATAATGATATTGTCAAATTGTTCACTTCTTCACTCCTATTGCTCATGCAATAGGAGTGACAGCTGAATTCAACCAGTTAGAAGCACCAGATGGCTTTAGTTATGCAGCAGTTATAAAGAGATCAACTAAAGAGACCAACTAAAAAGATACTTACAGCAAAATCGAAATTGTGTTCTCGGCTCTAAATGTATAATTTTATCTTTAGAGAATAGGCTACATACACAGACATTGAATTTGTGTTTTGAAACAGCTGAAGTTATCTAGCATAGATTAATGACTGTTTATGGTTTTGATTTGGATGGATAATATTTGAATTTGCTACCTCATTATTTTAGATGTTTTGTAGATCAAATAGCATGCCATTTATAGAGGGGATGTCTTAAATGTATTAGAAGATGTTGTTGAGGCTAAATATGAGAGGAAAAATGTAGGGCTGCAACTAATGATTTTTCTTTTTCATTATTTCTATTGACCATTGCAACTTTACATACATTAGCCAACCAAAATAAAGTTACAATATGGTGACGGTTTCTAATTATAAACTATTTACGAATAGTGTATTATTTGTGAAAATCAAAAGTAGCTAATTCTTTTTTTTATATTTTGATTTAATAATGCTGCTGTCTTTGTTATAGAAGGCCTTTTTCTTTTGTGTTTTAGAGTCTTCATAACTATTACAAATATCAAAATGTAACTATTATTTTTTATAGTTGACTAGTCATTATTATTAGTCAATCTGTTGTTGCATTCCTAGAAGGAGGTCTAGGGGTATTTCATGAATGTAATCAAAATAGGACATGAACAAAGATAGAGGACTAGGGGGATTAGACAAAAGGTTTGGTGTCAACACTTGAAATTTATAGATGAATAGTTCTATTTTTCTTTCTTTTTTTTAAACTTTCTTTATTTTTCTTATACACAGGTAGGAGGTTTGCCCTTTTCTGTCAACTGTTCCTCACCTGCCTCTATTATCTGACTTCCAGAGCCCATTAGGAGGTTATTGACGGGATATGAGATGACATGCAAGAATATAAAAAAGAAAGGCAAAGGAAGTAGCTGAGATAAGATGTGGTTTGAAAAAAGCCATTATATTGCACAATGGAGTTCCACTTTGATTTATGACATTGCTGAAAATAAGTAAGTCCTTGTCTCTTCCATCTCCCATCACCTGCTGTAACTCTGCTTGAACAAAAGACTTTATACTCTTCTGATGGAAAATATTCGGTTCATTGTGTTCAGAGCTTCATCATACTGGTATCCAGATTTTAAATGACTTCATTGTTTATATTTCATAGTTGCCAACATTGTTTTACTATGACTAAATGACTACCTTTACCCATGATAACACCAGAATCTCAGACAATGATAGTTAAAGAAATTTGGCTCTTTTAGCATAAAATCACTTTTTCCCCCTTTGCTGTCATGTTTATACATCTGGAATGGCTATAATGGAAATGCTTTCATTCTTGGTTCTTGTGGTCACATTCATGACCATAAGGGGGCAGTGTTATAAAAGCATTTGCCTTCCCCTTTAGCCTTGCCTTTCTCTGTTCAGTGTTGTTGGTTTTGTACCTGTTTACTCTGCTGTGCCAATATTGCCTGTGCAGTTTGTCCTTCAGTGTTGCTTGATTTTTTTCTTATGAACTCAGATTTAAAATTCTGTTCCCCCTCTGTTGTATTCAATTTTGAAATAATCCGTGCAGCATCACATAAGATCTTGCTGTGTGATCTTGGGGCTTGAGCTGTTTGAAAATCCCCATGTAAATGGATTTATTGATCCTATACCTGCCTAGGTCTAATTATGACATTTATGAGGGACTGTAGTCTGGTTCAATGTTATCGAAGTGTGGCACCTTGCAATGAAGTTGTAACCTGGAGATGGTATTGACTTCACATGTTGGCATTCTTGGATTAGATTTTGAAGAAAGGCTTAAAAGGAAAATGTATCAATATACAAGTGTGAAAAAAGTGAATTTGAATTAGAAACATCCAAACTATTATAGGCTTTCATCTGAAAGCCTTGCAAAGAACTACCAGGTAATGGCATGTTTTTTTGTTTTGTTTTTAAGTGTATCTCA